TTTTTTTCTTTTTTTTTTTCTTTTTTTTTTTTCTGTTTGGTTGGGATTTCGAGGGAGTTAGTTTGCGTAGTGGGGCTTTTGTTTGTCTGGTTTTGGGGACTTTTTTTCCTTGACCATTATGTTTCACATGTTATATACTATACTGACCTAAATTATGAAGTTAGCACCATATTAAAAACACGTATTTGGTAAAACAAAAAAGATTTTAGAGTATTTTTAAAGTTGTTGGTAGCTCCTTTATAGAGAAAAAAACCACTGAAAAAACTGAGAAGCCATAGCAACTCTGTAATACTCACACATGAAATAACATATTGCTCAAAATTCCCATAAAGTATTTGTTTTTCTATACAAAAAAAGTACAAATTCCAAGTGCTGGCATGTCACTCGGAGATTTAAGTAGGAAGCCAATGTGCACCTGAAAACAGCTCTCTGTGAAGAGACCTATTAAAATACTGTTTGGAAATACTGTGGTTTAAACTACATCTCTCTCATGTTTTAACCAACCATGAAGAGTGATGAAGTTAAGTTTAATTACCTGGTATGGTTCTACAGTACAAAATGAAGGTAGATTCTGAGGCCAGTAAAAACACATTTTAGACCACAATGCTACTTTTAAGTTTGCTAATATTTTTTTTAATATATAGATATATATATATATGTGTATATCTATATATATATAGATATATCTATCTCTATATATATAAAAAGGTCAGCACCACAGGTTGTCCAGCTTGCATTCTAGACAACTAACAAAACCTTTCAACAATTTAATCATAGTTTAATAGATTTATGGCATTTGGTTTACATATGTTATAAAGCAAAGCTATTAAAACAAGGTAATTCACTTTGCTCACTTTTGCACACAAAGTAATAGTTTAATAAAATGAAAACCAAACAACATTTGTTTAAAACCAAAATAATCCTCCCAAAGTCCGAAGTGCTAAACCCTAAGCAGAGAGGAGTCCTAACGGTTGATAGAGTGGCATATGGTATTAGCCTTGACAAAGAACAGGGAAAGTGAAAGCATTTTATATATATAAAGCAAATTTATATATATAAACAGTCTCACTACCAAAACCAGTTAGTAAGAGTGAACAGATTTCATTGTGACAGGAGAGGAATCAAAGCTGTAATATTCTCTCTCCCAGCTGCTGTGTAACTCATTACCAGCAAAAGGATTTAAGAAATAAAGGAAATTACAGCTTCTTTGAGCATTCAGCAGAGCTGCCAATCTTATTCTAATATCTTTCTCCACTGGCATTTGCGTCTCTCACCAGATCAATCAGCAGGGACACTTCACCAGACTCTTCCTAGCCTTTCCCCAGTACACTGTCTTTATATTCTGAGCATCTTCAAATATAAAAAAACAAACACCAAACAATTCAGCCTCCTTCAAAAACAAGTAATACTTCTGAAGACTTCTCCAGAAACGATTTCTAACTGATTTCCAGAAGGTCAGGAAAATTAAAAGGCTGTTACACTTGTACTGAAGATTACTAAAAGAATAAAATACTTTAAAAATACATTAGTAATGTGCTTATCTGTGTTTCACTTAGATGTAAGATTTTAATCAGATGTGTTAGACATTGCATGAATTTCCATACTAGAATCCATGGCTTCAGAAGCTGAAGCATCATTATCTACTTTCTGTTCCACAAACGCTTCTGTTCTGTCTGGAGACTCAACCCTGTTTCTCACTTCTGTAACCCCCGGGTGATTTTTTCGCAAGTGCTGGTTTAGTGTACCCTGGAAAGGAAAACATTTTCCACAGATCTCGCAGCGAAAGGGTTTGTCATCTGTGTGACCACGAATATGATACTCAAGTTGGTCCTTACGGGTATATTTCTTCCCACAAAACTTGCACACAAAAGGAGTTATTCCCATGTGCAATCGCATGTGTCGATCAAGGCTCCCCTTCTGGTTGAAAGACTTGCCACAGTAAATACAAATTAGCCTCTCATTGTATGGATACCAGTGACCTCTTGCATTTCTTTCCCGTGGACTATTTTCATATCCTGGATTACTCACCATGGATTCACTGTCAGTCCCTTGCACCAAGCCCTGGACATCACTATGCAAGTGACCCGTAGGTACTCGCTTTTGGCGTGCACGGCCCCCTCTGAAACAGCTCAGCATTGACCTTGAAGGGCTTGTATTGCTCATGCTTCCAAAGGTTTCTGACACACCTGTAGCCTGTGATGAGGCATGAGTAAATGAATAAACATGTTGTAAGACAGACCCATATGAACCAACGTTTACCGCCACCACCTGCTCTCCATCCACCATTTCAGTGTGATATCCATCATCACCAAGGGAAGAGCTATCAGAGCAGCTTGGCCTGTCAGACTTTTCCATTTTAACTTTTACCTCTGCAATCTGACTCTCCCTTACTATCAGGTCCCCTGGCTCATGATCACCTTCAATCTGAATCTCATATTCAGAGATACTCCCGCTGCTCCCTCGGTCTGAATGCCCTTCTTCTTGCAGACGACTACGAAGAGCTTTGACTGGAGTAGTTTCCATCCGAAGATCGCTGCCTGCTGTTGACTGTCGCACCTGAGAGCAATAGGGAGGAGATATCTCAATAGGGTTGGCAAAGTAGCTGCTGTCTTTAACGCCATTGCGATTCTCTGAATTTTCTTCGGCACCAACAGTAACAGAATCAACATCACCAACACTGATCTTTGAATGAATACTCTCCAGTATCTGTGTGCACTTGTCAATGACGCACTGCATCTGTAGGAAGCTAGCTGCAGTCAGAAAACTGACAACGTCCTTCAGTTGCAAGGACATCCTTCCAGTGTAACAAAAAGAAAGCAACTGCTCAAAAACATTGGGGTTTTTAATAACTGATATCGACAGGCCACTCATGGTGCTTAATGCTGAATGGTCACGGAAATACGGAGAACTGGCAGCTAAGACAGCTTTGTGGGCACGGAACGGCTGACCCTGGATGTGCACAATTATGTCACAGAGTTTCCCTTGCAAGCGGAGCTCGTTTAACTGGCTCAGAACAGTGTTGCTGTACTCCGGCACATCAAACTGAATGAAACTGCTGCTGTCCATTTCTACAGATGTAAAGAGTAATCTGAAAGAAAAATTAGAAGATTTAAAACACAGAATGAATACAGAGTTTTCTATTTCAAAAACAAATGCTTGCAAATGTTTTAAGTAAGATCACCCCACTGATCTGTTAAAGGTGCATTACAACAAAACATTTAGCATAAATACTCCATATAATAAAAAATCAGAGTCTTAATCTGAAAGATTTGAAAGAAAAATGTTTGAGCCACCCATGGGCTTTCAATTTTTTAAAAAAAACTTTCTTTTGTGATTTAAGTTGTATTTTTTTTTAACAAACCATGTTGTGAACTTGGAAGCTCATCTGACACAGCAGTGATTTCCTAGCTAGAATAACCTGACATCTAAATTCTAACCTAACTTAAAAGCCATGGGTACTTAAAACAGCAGGAAAGAACATTCAAAGAGGCCTTAAAGAAATGTACAGAGTTCCAAACAAAAGGTAAAGAAAAGCACTTTTCACAGATTACTATTGTAAAAAGCACACACACACTATCAGCCTGAGAATGTTGAACTGCAACACTACCCTACATTTCCAAGACTGGACACTAATCAAGCTCCCAAGAACCTTCAGACTTATATTGCTATTCTAGTTCTTATTAATGCAGAAGTCTAAAGACGTAAGATTGCCACCATACCTGCTTTTCCAATTGAACAAACAGATCTCAATATCATCCATTGACTTCAGATGCAGGAAGCATATCCAATGTATCACAATATACTAGTAGATTTTTTTCCTATTATGTTACATGCTGTAATAGGACACAGGAACAATTTAGATCAAATTATGAAAATTCAGGTATTCTAATAAGAAAATTGACAGGTAGAAATAGGATAAAAAGCCTATAAGGAAGCACTGGGGCTCTATCAGCTGACCCTCACTTAAAACTAACATTCACAACATTCAAAAATGGAATTTCTTTTCAGCAGACACACAAAAGCCAGCTTTCTGTCTGCCCATTGTTTGACTTAAAAAACTGGCAAAAACTCTTACAGAACATTCAAAATCAAGTTATGTGACTTGCTAAATACATTCTCTAACTTACCAGTGTCATTACCCATTAAAATGGGTAAAAGGGACTTCATTTGAGTTTTTTTTGGCTGAGATATCAAAGTGAGAAAAAAGACATTTCCTAGGCTCTTACATCTGAGGTGGGAAATAAGGACTGCAAGATGGCTACCAGAAGTGATATGACTGCAGCAATCCCTTCAGAGATGGCTCTGGCAGGGCAGTTCTTTTATTCAGCAAAAAAAGCTACAAAACAGTTCAGAGTTACGAGCTGATATCAGCAAAAAATCAAACAGCACAACCCATAACCTATCCCAGCTGTGAGGAAGTTACATGGCAAGATTAACTTTGCTTTTCTGAGCATCCCTGCCTGTTGTGCAGAGAATCACTATCCCAGACCCATGCAGAAGTTTCAGGAGTTTCAGAAGTTAGATGCATGTTTGTGTTATGAATGGTTGTTTTAAGGTCACTTAAGGAATCACCAGGGAGGAGGGAATGGATCATCACAATCTGTCACTTTCACTTGTGTCTAACAGGGCAGCAAGCTTCTTAGAAACACAACATAGGAAATCTTTAATTAGTGGCACTTATTAGCTATGCACAGATGCAACATCAGCCATTCCTGATTAAGTTTCTCTGCTAAATGGAGGAAGTTTGTGTTGACTTGAAGTGACACGAATGGACAAGTTACCTGGGTCAGGGACTCTGTACAAACCAAAAGACCAGCCCCCAGCAGCAATAATTTGGCATTCTAGTCTAGGATGTACAGAAAGTTTGTCACATATAGACAGTGGAGTTCCTCCTTACCCCACACTTCCCTAAGGGCTCTTACCCAGCAAAATGGAGAATAACTTACTCCTGGAGAAAATATTAAAATATAAATTGCCCCCACTAGCACTGGTTCAGACAGAAGGAATGAATTAAGGATAGGCACCTGAGAAGAAAGAAGATGGACATTTTATGTCTTTTAATAGAGGAAAAAAAAAAAAATGTTCTTTTCATCACGGCATCTCGAGACGAATTCACAGTCCCTGGGACATGACCACACACTGAAAATGGACTGTAAACACATACTAGAGAAAGCATGAGAACCAGAAGGACACCAAGGAGATAGGAATCCATTGTGATCCTTGCCTATCATGACTGTTAGAACACCCCATTGTCTCCATACGCATATATATATATCTGTAAGTAACTCTACATCCCTGGTCTCAGAGTTGTTTCATCTTTCTTTTGGGATACAAAGAAGCTTATTTTGCTTAAAATGCTAGGAGTAAACAGCACATCCTGGCAGTGAGTGGAGAGGATGAGATCTGGAGTTAAAGGTCTGTAAGTCTGTTCATCAGTGTAGCAGAAAAGCACTAAAAACCTGCAACAGTGATCAAGGGAACATACAGTGTTGCTTTGAGAGCAAGCAAACAGGTCAAGTACACACTGCCTAAAAGGCAGTGCACAACAAGATTCTACACCAATCTGCTCTTAAAAAACAAAGAGAGCAAGCTACAGCATACACCTGTGAGTACTTTTCCACCTTTATTTCTTCCTGTGACCTTGAAATCATCTGTGGAAAGCTGGGGTTAAATGACAAGAATTTTGAAATACAGCAGCAGTGGACAGAAGGGAATCCTTCTTCTGATTTCAGCCACAACCTTAAATCTCCAGCTAGAGGAGAACTGGCCAGGATACCAATGGACACCCCCAATTCAGGAGCAGGCCAGACTGTAGCAGGAACAGCACTGAAGCTGCAGTAATTTTGGCAGAGTTAGTACCAGAGCATCCCAACTTCCTTGTATCAATTTGGGAAAGCAAGACCTGGGGCGAAAATCTGGGCATTACACACATCAGAGAAGCAGGCACCACTTGCCATGTTTTATTGGTGAATAAGAGCCAGAAGAAAAATTATTTTATTTATCCACAGATGTCCCAAATGTCACTATCTAGAAAATAACAAGTAATCAATAGATTATATTCCCATGCACAATGTTTTATTTTATTTGTATAGAGGATCAAGTTAGCGGTTCCATAGTAACATTAACCAAAATAATGTTCTTATTCATCAGTGCTGGTATAACAGTGGTACTTTCAAGACAATAGTATTTATGGCTGAAAAATTTCTGAAAGAATCTGGGAAGATCACTACAGTTTGAAAAGGCTAGTAAGAACCCCCTCCAGTTTTTTAACAGCTTCCTTCAAGTTGAAATATCTCCCTAACCTCTTCTCTTTTGGGGTCAGGCATATAGCATTAAACTGAAGCAAGAAGGTACTTTAAAAACACAAATTAAATTTGGACACATCCACTGTATGCTCTAAAAAAAAAAAAAATAAATAAAATCTATGCAGTTAACCAGACAGTCATAATGAAACTTACACACATATTGCTTACAGAACTAGCACAGGTGAAGAAGAAAAAGAAATCACGCTCAGTCAGAAGTCCCATTCGGGACCTTCCACAGTAACTCAGCACGTGCAGAGGGAACCGGTGTTATTTAGGCTCAGTACAGTCATATAGAACAATAACTCAGAATTATGACAGTTTTATTTGCAATATATAAACTCAAGCTATTTGGGGGGTAGTGAGAACTAAGATAACTTGAGCTGGATTCAATTATCCTTTTGGGTCCCTTCCAACTGAGAATATTCTGTGATTCTGTAAACTCACAGCAGTGTCAGGTACACTCACTGTTAAAAAGTAATGCATTTCGTTTTGCTTTAGCTTTCATCCCTGCCTGGGTGTTAGTGTAAAGTCAGGGCAAAGCCCTGCAAAATTTGAGACTGGGCACCTGTCTACAATTGGGTCCTCTCTTAACCTTTCCTCAAAAGTAGGTCAAAGTGTTTAAGGTTTTCATAAGTATTATGTATCCAAGAAACTGGCTGAAGGCACAGGCCAAAACTGCACACTAGGTTCACTAAGTCCTGGAAAGGTTTTGTGTTGAGCCTCATGTCTACTTTGGAGGAGATGATGCAGTCACACTCAAAAGAATCATATAAATTCTCTTTGCATCTGTACTACATTTATTCATCAGGGTTTTATATAGCAAATATAGCCCACAAAATGGCTTTAGTAGTAGTGAATCACTGCCGTATGTCTTCAAAGAAAAGTGTTCATTGAAGTACCTCTGAACATCAGAGGGATAGGTACTTAACATTTCTTATTAGATTGCAAAAGAAATTTCCTTTAAAATTATGTTCTATGAAAACCCTTATTTAAATTAAAAAACAAGAATAGATGTTGACAAACCACATTAGGCATTTAATTTTGCTGACATCACACAGTAGAAGTGAAGAAGCATCGTATAACTATAACACGAAGCTGCATGTCTGCCAACATAGTATTAGTTTCTGCTTCTAAGTCTGCACCTGTTTAATTTCCTTCACTCACTGAAGCATGATTCACCATTCCCACAGACAGGTGAATGATACAAATTATACTCATTTTAACTCACACTAAGGTGTGAGAAAAGATCCCTTGCATTTTCTTAAATTAGCTCAGCAAAAAGGAATCCTTGGGAAAAAAAAACACATTACAAACCATTACTGTTATAGCAGTCTGTTGTACGGTTGTCAGTACCGTCGTCTGAGAACAGAAATGCATAGAAAAGACGGGAGAGTCATAACGAAAGTTAAGACAAAAACAAAACAAAGTACTCCATGACACCAAAAATGCCTCTACCAGGCAACAAGCAACAGGACAAGAGGAAATGGCTTCAACCTGTGGCAAGAGAGGTTCAGGTTGGAAATCGGGAAGAATTTCTTCACTGAAAGGGTTGTTAAGCATTGGAACAGGCTGCCCAGGGAGGTGGTGGAGTCACCATCTCTGGAGGTGTTAAAGAAATGACTGGATGTGGCACTGAGTGCCACGGTCTGGTTGACAATGTGGTGATCAGTTAAATATTGGACTCGATGATCTTGGAGGTCTTTTCAACTTCAATGATTCTGTGATACTCCCTCCAAACATTACTACTCAGAATACAGAGAAAGGACAAGAAGATAAACAGGTATTTGTAGAAATCAGTGCACTCCTCCCTTGCATTTTGTAGGACCTAGTATCTGCACCATCTGTGTGAGAACTCAGGACATCATTGCAAATATCATTCAAGAGAATTTTATCCTAGGAATGTTACCTTATCAGCTATGATCATGGAAGGTTTTGGCCAAAAGTCTTCCTCACTCTTAGTCTTTTCAGACTGCATTTGCATCACTCTTCAGATTTACAACAGCCACATTAATTAACACTAGCTCTATCAAAGGAATACTGTCATCAAGTATGTCACAGGCTAGGGGGGTCTCCAAGACACCCTTGAAAAAATCTTTGAAAATAGGGGAGTGACTGATCATAGAACATTTTACCAGTTTATGCCTCTCACAAAAGTGGAATACTAATTATCCTTTAAAAGTCAACATATAGCGCTCTTGGATGGCCTTAAATAACATACCACACAGCACTGCTGCTGTACTGAAACTCCATCCCTAAAGCAGGATAAGCTACCCCACTAATAAAAGTCAGAGTTTAATTTTGCAGCCAATAAAAGACCTCAAAAACCAAAGGAGGGTAAGAAACCCATATAATCTCCCAAAAACTGAGAAAAGTTTTCAGTACAACAAACTTCTAATAATACAAGCAGCACTATGCAAATATGTAGAATTGGTTTTTACATTAATTCTTCACTTCCTCCAAAATGCCCATTGGAATCAAAGAAGGTAGAGGCAGTTTGCTCAAATTATCTGTAGGAAGGCACACACAAAAGGTGCTTGTGGCATAGTATTAATTGGAAAACAGTCTTGAAAATCAATCTGCTTCATGTCTGGTTTGGACTACAATACAAAATCTGTTAGGTGACAACCACACAACAATTTAAAACTTTATTACTTTACCTCCTAAAAATGCAGAAAATGCCCATTTCCTCAGAAACACAAGCCAGTTAATTCAGGCTGAACTGTTGTTACCAGAAAACTTAGCTTTTACATTCTTGCATCCATAGATATCAGAACACTCCAGTGAAAATCATTATTCCTTCTCTGCAGCCAGACAGGCCATGTTCTACCCAAAGTACTGAACATCTGCAGTGAAACCTGCCTGACAGGTGAGGTCTCTGCTGTGCTGTGGGACACAACCTCACTAACTGCCTGGGGAGCAAAGCAGTAACCCCTGGAACTCAGTTGAGAAATGCTTTACTAGTTCAGACATTTGTCTAACAAAAATTTAAAAGTATTTATTTTTACCTCACTAAGATTCACAACATGATGTACAGAAAATCACTGCAAAGAGTGGATGATTTTAGCATCAAAATAAAATCGATTTATTTACATGTATGTACATACATGGACATGCACACATACGCACATGCCAACACCAGCAACACTGCAAACTCATTCTCAGTGGTCAGCATGGTGCAGCAGTGATATTGTTGGAAGTGCATATTTAGGATTTTATAGAAAAAAAAAGACCCTCTTATTTGAGCAAATATCCACAGAAAACAGGTATGAAACTGAAATCCAAGTGACACCTTCGTCCCTTATTCTCTTAACTGTCTTCCTCAAAATGCTTCCCTGCATGGAAGTGATTGAAAAGGAAAAAATGAAACACCTATCAATGCATAAAAATAGTTTCATCTAAGAATTAGAAACCTCAATAATCTCCAAATCTTGACTCTAGAAATCAAATTGCCACAACAGTAGTTGGAGATACACATCTATTTCTGAATGCAAAAAAAAAGTTACCAGGAGGCAAACTGGAGATAAGCCAAGATAAAAAGTTGCCTTCCAAATAAAACTATTCTGTGTCTATGACTTCAGTATCAACAAATGTATTGTGCCTGATAAACAAAACAAAGGGGAATGTTGATTATACATACACTTCAAATCAGCAAGATCTTAGAAGTAATGATCAAAAACTTTTATTTTGTGCACAAATTCAACAATATCCCCATTATGTAACACTAAATAGCTACATTTTCTGAACACCTGACAACTTTGAGATGTCACTACCATTATAAAAAAACTCCAGCCTATATTTTGAGAGTGAGGATATATACATATCCAGAACTTTCACAAAGTGGGAAGAGAGCTCTTGAACATTCTGATATTACAATTTTATTTACTATCTAGGTAATACTTCATCACTACTGTGCATTTTAATCTGTCCGCTTTCTTTTTTTTTGTTTTTGGTGGAGTTTTGTTTGTTTTTTAACAGTAGTCACCAAATTGTAGACTTTTTGGCTCCAATGTTTCTTTTAGGCATTGAAGTGACTATGTACTCCAGATATCAGCAACATTTTTTGCAGTAGATTTACAATAGCTGCAAAGAGCATATTTTCGTGGTGTTTTCCCAGCACACTGCTTAGGACAGATTGAACTGTTTGGAGCTGTCCCTGGACAGGCACTGAAACACAGGCACATTCTGATCCAGATGTTGAGTATTCTGTAACATGTAACAACTGCAGTGCAGCTAATCCTGTAGCACTTTGTTTTCCCTCGGAAACCAGGCTCACCCACATTAATCTTTCTGAGACTGTTCTGGCTTGTTCCAAATTAACTCTCAGCTCCGATTTACTCTAAGCCAATTCCAATTCTACGTGCTGTGTATACCTGCCAGGACTTGGAAAGCCCTTTGCATTACAGAGACTGGGGTTTCAGTAGAACGCCCACCTTCTCTGACGGAACAGCAGCAGCTGAGTGGTCCCCAGCTCCTGGCAGTGAACACCTCCCGAATGGGGCCAGGTTCGCGGCGCCCCGGTCCGCCGTGCCGAGGATTTTATGCCTTGCTGGGGTTAACAGCAGAGCCCGACACAGGCGCGGCCGCCCCCCGCCCCGCACGCCAAAGCTGCACCGGAGCCACCGGCCCTGGTTACGCGCCGGCTCCTGCGGAGGCGCGGCCGGGTGAGAGCCGCCGCTGCCGGCAGCCGGACAGAGCGCGGCCCGCCGGGCCGCGGCGGCCGCCCCGCGGGGCCTGCCAGGCGCCGGGACCCGGCCGAGCCCGGCCCGAGCCCCGGAGCGCCGCGGGCCGCGGGGCCGAGCGCCCCTCGCTCACCTGGGGCTGTCCGGGGCTCTCACATGGCGGGTCCCGGCCGGCCCGGCCCGCTCCCAGCGCCGCTTCCCGCCCGCTCCCGCACCGCCCGCACCCGGAACTGATTCCGCTGGCGGCCGTTCCGCTTCCTGGCGCCGCCCCGGCAGCGGGCGGCGCCCCGGGCCGCTCGGGCGCTGCCCCGCGGGGCCACGGCGGAGCCGCCGGAGCAGCGCGACCCCTCCCAAGGCGGAAGGATTTCAGCGTGGGCTGCAGCCGGTGTGAACGCGGGCAGAACTCCTGGAGAACTCTCACGGTGCTCTGGCAGCTCCAGAAGAGATCGCGCACTCAGAGCCGCACCCCGATGGGCAGTCGCAGATACAGCGAGGGAGCTTTTGGGGAGGATATCCCTTGCTCCAGTTGTTAACAGCCACCTTTATTGAGCAAAGAATTAAAAAGTTCACTTGTGTTATACTTGGCCTTGTCACTCACAGGAATCGCTTCAGCAAGCATCGGCTAACTTTTTGTGTTGTGTTATCCTGCATATGCTTGTAGGTCAGGTAGTGCAACGATTCAGTTTATGAACCAGACAGTTCATGTACTCGTTATCATGTACTACTTGAAAACAGTCAGAGTGACTGGTGCCAGTAGGTCCTCTGGGGTATCCACCTGGACACCACATTCTGTCTTCTGGAGGTATGTCTTTCTCTCCCTTTAATACACAGAACAGAATCTTCATTAGGCACTGAATGCTGATCAGATAAACCAGCGGCCTGGGAAGCATCCTGGCCAGGGCATAAATAACAGAGTTACAGAGCACAGAGAAAAACTGTATTTGTTCACTCAGATAAAAACCACTCAAACAACTAATTCTGAATCGGCAGAAAACTTTGGGCTTATTCTTCCGTGTTCAGTAAGTGTAACCAAAATACTAAATTAATTTTCTTGTACCATACTCCATTTGAATTTGCTGAAGACTGTGTTACATAAATATTGACTTCTCCAGGTATTGACTGAACATGCTTTCAATAAGAGCAAGCTCATTTTTTGCTTACATATTAAACAGCAGCTGGGCCAGTTTCACAAGGACTGAGCACATGGAGGCTGGACAAAATCAAGTGTTCAGTATAAGTACCTAAATTTAGTAAAGGAGAGAAAGAATCCTCACAGGAAGGTAAGAGAAATTTAATCTTTAATACTTTTCACAGCGTGAAATTTCCTTCATACTTAGACAAAAAAATTTTTAAAAAATCTATGTTATCTGTATCTACTTCAACTGTACCAAGAGGCCTTTCGGACATGTGGTTGATGCTACTATGAAGTGGGTGTTCTGGAATTCTCCTATCAGCATGTACATTCTCTATTGTAACTCCTGAGATCACCATTCTGCAAAAAAACAGTTATAACAAAACCTGTTTGACAAATTTGAACTAGCACGGAAGCCAATTACCTAAAGCAGCAAAGAAATGGGTCTAATTCCACAAATTCATCAAACTTATGGTGCCATAAAAATCAGGTTTTAGTTTAATGTTTTCTTAGACTAGGCCGGCATGTTATCATTATTTCAAGAAGACACTTACTAGATACACTTTTTAATATATTTAATAAAGTTATATATCAACAACTTTTGGATTTGTACTTTTGAGCACTTATTTTGGCAAAGTGAAATATTAAATACTAGTACTAGACATGCATTCCTTTCATTCAAGCTTAAGAAAACATTTACAAATTTGACAGATAACATTTATTAAAACATGTTATAGAAAAAAAGGGGCATGGGACTCTTCTATAAGAAGAAAATATTGAACAGTAACATTAAATTAAAACCATGCTGTACAATTAGGACAGCAATATTTATAGACAAAACTATCCAACCTCTGCAATACAGGCATAACATCTCACAAAATACCAAGATATGCAAATTTACTATTATAAATGACTTGTTTAGAATAAAAACTTATAGCTCATTAAGGAAGATTCACTTGACTTGCATAAACAGTTACATTTCTGACAGAAATATGGAATCCCATGAATAAAATAAAAGGAGCAGGAATTGACAGACACAGGCTTCAAGCAAAAATCAGAACTTGCAATTTAATCACATTAAAAATATACCATCTTTTCCAGCATCTTCCCCTAGGCCACTGACAGTTTACAGCTAATAGCTAAAGAAGCCAAGCTACCCAATGAAGCACTTAAAAGACAAAAAAAACCCCAGCTTTTCTTTGTTGCTTTGAGAAAGGTCCTAATTCTGTTATAGCAAAACACTTGATGTACTGCTGTGGGCTCTCATAATTCAGAGACAGGTTATCTTGCTGGCACCCTGCAAAAGTATTGAGATTACAAACCCTAAACCCTGATATGCCTCCATTCTTTCATGATCAATAATATTGGAATGCTCAATACATCAGCCTTTCATCATCTGCCTTGCTTATGATACAGGACAGTTTCTCAACCTTAGACACACCTCAGATCAAAAAAAGGTGTGACCAAAAACTATACTGACAATATCTTCTAGGGTCTATCTGCTCACCCATAAAACTAACAAGGAAAGTTTAAAAAATGAAACAAAAAAGCACTCTGCAAACCAACACTGGTGTGTGAAATAGGAACCTTCTCCCTCAAAAGGGTCTGATATACACCTAAGCAGATTTTAACCCTGCTAACAGTTGAATGTTTCATAATGGCAATTACAGAGATTCCATGGTAATTAACATCATAGTTACAAAATGGAATGAAAAGGAACTTAGCTGTAGTACCATTAAGTCTTCTTGCCACTGCTAGGACAATGAATGGGTTCAAAGCAGCAGGAAAGTCTGAAAGCCACCTGGGTATACAATATTGTTGGTTTTCAGAAGACACTCACTTTACTACAGCCAACAGCCACATCATCAAAGGTAATGAAGCATATGGGAAGATTAATGAAATTCATCATATACATATGCAGTCATGTTATATATATACATATATATATATATATATATGGATTGCTTCCCTCCTCCCCAGAAATAAGAAATAATTTTTCATACCTTGAACATGGCCAATCCATTAGCAAAGATATCGGAAGCTTGACAGAAGCTGCATTTGTATATCTTGGCTTGCTATGTTCAACTGCACTGGCCACCAGTGGCAGAGGTGACGCATAGCTAGAGTTTGCAGGCTGCCCTGCACTAGTCAAAAGAAGTTCAGTGTGCACAAAAAACAGATGAGAACAATCCACTGCAAGCCAAAATCTCAACTAGAGGTGTACATAATGCTTCTGCTTAAATATACTTAAGGAAGAGTAGCAGCTGCTAGCAAGTGGTGCAGGGAGACACATGGAGAAGATACTCCTGGGTACAGGTGGAGAAACTGAACAGCTGCTCTTGGGAAAACACCTGAAGAAGTCACTGAGAACATGTATAGACACACGCGCAGAAGGAAACACTCCCTGCCTGAGGAGATCACTTCTAAGATGACTTTGGCCTACAGCTAAAGCCCTGCCAGAGCAGGTACACCTCTGAAATAAGGGAGTTTCACAGAAGAACCAGGCTGGAACAGACGCATCCCTGAAGAGACTGTGGCCCAGTGTCACCATGAACAGTGACACTGACCAGGCCAAAGCACCAGAGGACACCCACTAAGAAATGAAAAGCATCAGACAAGGAACTGTGCATATGACAACCTCCTCTGTGACCTGTCACCTTACTAAAGGAAATGGCAGGAACTGAATAGAACTCTTGGTGAAAGCAAGGGAAACTGAGAATACAGAGGCAGGGAGAAGAGGTGTTAGACTTAAGCTGAGCCTGAGGAAGATGATTTAAGTGATTTTTTATCTTTCTATCTTTCTCCCCAGTACCTGAAATGGTGATTAGAAATTTGACAAAGGGCAATAAACTAAGTTCAAGAAAAACACTACAAGACAACTGTTTCACCTGTGACATGCAAAAGTAAGGATTTTAGACATGTATCTCAAGTTGTCCTTAAATCATTAATCCTCTCTTGACCTCATGACAATCAGATCAATATTTTCCTGCAATCAATTGGTTTCATGTAAATTAACAGCAGAAAGCCAAGTGCTACAAAAATCAGTGGAGCAGCATTTGCTGGACTTTCAAGACAATGCCATAATATGGGGTAAAACAGCAAGAGGCAAATACTAAAAAATTACTATTCATGCTAAGTCATTAAAAAAGGACATGGTTCTATAATATGATCTACTGAACCTGTTATAAAATCTTTAAAGTGTCTCTCGCAGTACATTTGATTTTAAAGCTTTATTTCAAAGTAATCTAACTACAAATAGAAGTAACATCAAACCTTGAAATATCCCATATAAAAGTCATTCCAAGCTGGTAAAATAAACAGTTTTGCTGGCAGCTCTGTAGGATGGTCTAAGTTCGACTTTTTTTTTTGACCATAGTTTTCAGACTGGTGTTTCTGTCCAGCCTTTTTTTTATGGTTAAATGGGAAGAGGCACCCTTTACCTTTTTATGCAAAACTAAAGTGACGGTTGGAAAGGGACTGAGAACTAATGTAATATACAAGGTCATTCTTGAAATGAATATGAGAATAAACACCCTGGACATGTTCAAGGCCAGGTTGGATGGGGCTCTGAGCAACCTGGCCTAGCTGAAGTTGTCCATGCCTATGGCAGGAGAGTTGGAAGTAGATGACCTTCAAAGTCTCCTTCCAACCCAAACCATTCTATGATTCTAATGCCTTCCTTCAAATGTGATGATGGTACTTGCAGAAATGACACCATGTATGGGTAAGGCCTTGGAGAATGGAAAAATAGGGCCACTGAGTGCAAGAACCCTTTCCTCTACCCTCATGTAAACAGGCAAGCATTATAGTATTTTTAGTATTAAAAAGGACAGTGTTAGCAGTGTGTAAACAAACCATAGAGGGAATATAATTTCTAAGTTTAAAAAACATACTTATAAAGTATTATGGTTTGGTATTTTTTTGTCATTTTTGTTTTTGGGGTTTTTTGTGGTTTTTTTGTGGGTTTTTTTTTTTGGTTTTGTTTTGTTTAAATACAAAGTGCTATACATTAAGCAGGTTACAGTGTTAACGAGCAAAATCCCTGTTTCAGTACCTTGATCACAAAGGTTAAACATAGCCACCATGGTATCTGTAGAGTTCAATTAAGTG